CAGCGACGGCGGCTGGTCAAAGTCGAAGCAGCAGGTGTACAGCGAGTCGCGGATCGCGATCGGCAAGTAGCCGTCGCGGCACGTCTGCGCCTCACCGGGTGGACTCGCGTAGCAGTCGTCGCCGTCGCGGCTCGAGCACTTGGACGCGTCGCAGAGGCAGTGAGGCGGGTAGCACGTGTAGCGACCTTCGTTCCGAGGCTCGTCCGGGTGAGGGCTGGCGGTGTAGCCGTCGCTGCAGGTCTGCGCCTCCATGTTCGGGTCCGCCCAGCAGTCGTTGCCGCCGCTCAAGCACTTGCTGTCGTCGTGGACGCAGGGCGGGGGCGATGGTGGCGGAGCGGGGGCCTGGCCAGGCGGGAACGGCGGCAGCGGCGGCAGCGACGGCGGCTGATCAAAGTCGAAGCAGCAGGTGTACTGGTGCCCGGCATTGGTCGCGATCGGCAAGTAGCCGTCGCGGCACGTCTGCGCCTCACCGGGTGGACTCGCGTAGCAGTCGTCGCCGTCGCTCGAGCACTTGGACGCGTCGCAGCGGCAGTGAGGCGGGTAGCACGTGTAGCGACCTTCGTTCCGAGGCTCGTCCGGGTGAGGGCTGGCGGTGTAGCCGTCGCTGCAGGTCTGCGCCTCCATGTTCGGGTCCGCCCAGCACGTCGGCTCGACGCACTTGCTGTCATCGTGGACGCAGGGAGACGGAGGGGGCGGAGCAGGTGCCTGGCCCGGCTGGAACGGCGGATGCGGCGGTGTGGGCGGCGCGAGCGGAAACAGTCGCAGCGAGCGCACTCTGTCGCAGCCCGGCGTTGGCCGAGGCTCGCACTCGTACCCGCACACGAGCACGCTGGAGTCGTACGTGAATGTCTCTCCTCCGCCGCCGGTCTCGGTCGCCACCTCCACACCGCAGCCTGGAGAGACACGGATGAAGTCGAGCCCAGTGCAAGTATCAATCCACGTCGATGCGTCCGTCGAGACCCACTCGCTGCCGCAGTAGCCGCCGTCGTCCCCGCAGCAGTCGCCGCCCGAGCTCGAGCCCCACGGCGAGCATTCAGAAGCCGGGTCGCAGTTGCACCCGACCGACTCGTAGCCGCGAGCAACACACTCAGGGGGTGGAGCGGGCGCCTCACCTGGCAGGAACGGCGGCAGCGGCGGCGTGGGGACGCCTGGCACTGCACGGCACGCCTCGAACTGCTCCTCGGTAGTGCTGTAGCCCGGGATCGATCCCGCGCCAGAGCAAGTGGCGCCGACGGGGTAGACGCCCGAGGTGTAGCACCGGCAGAAGCTCTGAAAATCGGCCGTGCCCTCCCTTATCATGGTCTGGCACGTCGGGCTGAGGCTGTCCCACCATGCAGAGGTGGCGACGGCCGCCGGGCACGTGCTAGAGCACGGCGCCTCGTAGCAGCCGGGAGGGGGGTTGACGCACCGCTCGTACAGGTGGGACACCGTGCTCGCGCCGGCCGTCGGAGCGCACGTCGCGGCGCGCGCCGCCGCCTCGTCGCCGCTTCTATAGCAGGCGCAGATGGTTGAGAGATCGCCCAGCGAGTCGCCAAGCCCGTTCATGTAGTCTCGGCAATCTTGCGTCATGGACGCAAAGTGCTGCTGCGCCGCAAGCGAGGCCGGCCCTGCCGAGTCCGACTCGTAGTCGCACATCCACTCGTCGCGCTCGTCGCCGGGCTCGGTGCACAGAGATTTGATCGGCGTGCTCCCATCGCACCACTTGCTCTCGTACAGAGTGGAGCCGTCCGAGGCTTTCTCGTGGTACTCGTGTTGGCAGGACGAATCTTCCACCCACTCCTTCACGAGTGAACCTTGGCAGTCGACATCTTCGTAGTGCTTGGCGACGTTCACGCCATCCTCGCAGACCTGCATGAAAGATTCGCCGCCGCCCCACGTTCCAAAACCGCAGGTCTCGCCGTAGACCTCGTGATGGCACTCGCCGCCGCATTTTGATCCACCTGGGTCTTCGTCGGTCTCGCCGTCGTCGCCGCCGCTGTCGTCGCAACCGCCGTCAATGTACGCTTGGACCGCCTCCCGGCCGTACTGCTCGTCGCATGCAGCCCGGCAGCGCTCGGCGATGCAGCCACATGTCTGATTGGGAGGCACCGACTCACCATCATGAGGCACATCGCGGCAAGCTTGCACGCACGCGCCGCACCTGTCAGGCTCAGGGAGAAGCGACGGCCAGCATGTGAAGGCCTGGCTCGACGCGGGTGTGGCGTCCGTCGGCGAGGTGGCCCACGTCCAGCAGTCGCCGGGCCGGATCGGGCCGCTGCTGCCG